GATAATAATAATACCCATTTTGAGGGGAGATTTATTTAAATGCATGAAGCTATATAACATAGTGATGTGTGGGTGTGTATGTGTGTTTAAAGTTGTAAATTTGCCATCATGGTTAATAATCTACCACTACCACAAAAAAGAACTGCCCATTTTTGCAATAATCATTTTAATAAGTTGTATGCCTTTTTGATTGACACTTTAAACAAAGCTGTTTTTTATTTTTTTTACCGAGCCAGTCTCACTGTCAGAAACATGAAAAACTAACATTGTTTGTCCATTGTGTTACAAAAGCTCAACATGCATCAGCTTGACGAAAAACAGTGCTCATTACCAACATTACCAAAATCAACCATCTAACTGGTTGATTTTATCATTAGAGTGTGGAACCACAGAATCAGCTGTTAAGTAAGCCAACACTTTAGCTGTTACGTTAGAGCAAACAAACACACTGTTTCATCCATTCCTTACTTTATCGGTTGTGTACTTTTGTTTTTGGAAAGGCAAAAAAAATAGGGGTTTAGTGAATGGTCAATTAGCCTTCCAACATCATAAAATCTGTGCTAGTGATATCTTCCTTTATTAGCAGTCATTGTAATAATTCTGCCTCCGAGGATTGCTTGTAAAAGTAAAACCCTGATCTGCTTTATCTGTGGGTCTTGTCATTGAGCACTTTTGCAGGCGTTTCATCTCCTTTGGCACTGTGTCAAAATGGACCAAATTAACATTTCATTGTGAGACCCCTTGAAGGTTTAAATCATATTGTTTTGTCTTTATTGTAAATACGCCTACCACTTAGTATGTAATACTGCAGTGTGATAAGCCATAACCAAACCATGAGGATTTACTATCCCTTATGTGCCACGCAATAATGGCTGTGACGTCACTGATAAACTGAAATATGAACTTAAATCACTGTGTCCGTTAACTTAAAGACATTAGAAGGCCTGCCCTGCCCTGCAGAGGCACACAGTGTAGTAAGTGTTTTTGAGTTAAAATCAAGAGAAATCATATCACACCTATGTCAGGATGAAAGATTAACTTTGATGTCACTTTTCTCAGTTTTACTGCAATTTGGGTTTTTAAAAAAACAGTATAGGATCCAGTTAATGCCATTCATACAGCCATTTTATTTAGGGCCAGATACATTTTCTCGTTCAGCTGCTATAGCTTAACACACCACTGATGTTTTGTTTTTCATTTGTCAATTCAAACTGTAAAGTTTACTACCTCAAGTTCAGCAGTGCTCTGCAGAAACTGACCATAGAGTGGTAGTACTGGACAAGATTTTGTGAAATAAGCAGTGTTTTAGATTAAGAGCATATTCATGCAATAAAAGGGATTCCTCATGGACTGTAGCAAAACAACAATGTAGTGTCTGTGACATCAACCTCAGGAAGATCGGAGTCTACATTTTCCAATCATAGGTAGCAATGATAGAGATGTGAGTGCTTTGCATGTCACACAACCATTGACAAATAAAAGATGGATGTCACCTCTCCGCTTCTTCCCACTGTACAAAAGTGAAGCCAAAATATCCCAGATACTGCCGCTGCCATCTTTCACCATTCGGAGCCAGAGTCTGGGCAGAGAGAGATCCTTTAAGTTCTCTTGGTTGATTGACAGCTGCTCCAGCCTATCATGGCCTCAACTCTGAAAGCTCCTACCTTTTAAACATAGTTTTAAAAACCCGTTGTTGATGTCACAGATGCTGAATCCACAGAGTTTGTGCTCATTTCACAAAATGTTGTAAGACGGAGTTGCATCACTTCACCCAATTTTTTTCTTTCAGCACTTAAATTCAGTTAAACATTACATATAATTAGGAGAAAAGGCAATACTCTGCTATGTTTAGCATTTCTTTTACTTTCAGTCATGACGCGGTTGAGTCAAAGGCTCAATGAACTGATACACGGGCTAACACTGAACCGAATATGCAGCCACAGAGACTTGCCATTAAATACAGCTAATACTGCAAGGGAAATCAAGTCCACTTTAAATGTGCCGTTTGTAAATGAGAGATATAATGTCAGTGCACGGGTTTATTTGCCGATCTTTCAGTCCACTGTGTCCCCTCCTCTCAGCTGAATGGTGGATGGTATTATATGGTATTTTAAGTGTATTAACGTTCTGTATATCGGTGTAAATGTGGCATGGAAACCAACCCCTCCTGTGTGCCTCAGGTGTGTAAATTTGGTCGTTATGTGATCTTAATGTCTGGCTGCTTATTTGTGAGAAGTGTGATGCATCTCATGTGTTTCTGTAATTTATTAGTATTAAGATTATTTTTGCTTTCTGTATTTTTGTTCTTTTTGTCTGAAAAAAAAGAAGATTTCTGTTATTAAAAGTAACAATTTTTATTATACCTGGTTGTGCATTCCAGTTTCTATCAGTCATCTGCAGAGAGAGGATTTGAATGTTTTTTTCTCCATTTATGGTCACTGTAGAGGACGTCCTGGCTCTTGCTCTACTTTTAAAAAGTCCTGTTTGAAACACGCAACTTTGAGAATATGTGGTGATAATCCCAAAATCCCTTCATCTTGGATTACTACTGTATTTTATTCCTCTTGGCATGAAGCTTGCGGTGTTAAAAGCTAACTGGCAACACGAGGCCACAGAGAGGGAAACCTGCTGGACTCCAGCGCTGCCTTTCAGCTGCTGCCCACTTCACGTCAAGCTTTCAAGTTAATTGCGTTCGGCACTAATGTTACAGAGGTAATATGAAACACAGTCGTGAATATGTCACTGCACGCACACATTATTGCTTTTCAAACAACGGCATCATCACTCAGATATTTGTGAGACGACTGTGTGTCTGAATGTGCCTGTCAACTGAAAATGTAATTTCCAAAATAGTTTATACAGCTTTAAGGGAAAAAAAATACTTGAAGTTTAGAAGTATGTTCATGGAGATGATTATTTTTGCCAGATATCAATATCTTAAACATCATTAGTAGTAAATCATTTTAAAACCTGAATTTGTCCACTTGGGCACAACGAAACAAGCTACATAACATTGACTTATCATTAACAATAGGTAAACGGTTCTAATTTAATATGCATCTGCTGCTATCTGCTGAATATCAATTTCTGATATTGTTGGAGGATTGTGTACAAAGTAAAGTAAAGAGCTTCATCCACCAGACTTGTCATCGCAGTTAATAATGTAAGTGCTTTATCTCTGAACAAGTCAGTGAATTAAAGCCTCACCATCATGTTTGATTCATTCCTCATGATTCCATTTGTTGTTCTTCCAGCTGAAATCACAGTAAAGCGATGAAGTTTAATAAAAGACTAAAAAGACTGCAGATGACCCTGACTACATTCAACAGCAGTTGATTTATCTAGTGATTTAGAGATAAAAACACAGCATTTCATATCATTACATGCTGCTTCTCCTGGAAATGATCCCATCTTCATCTTATGCCAGTTCAATACAATTTACTACCACGCTCACTACAAATTCACCTCATAAAGTATATGTAGATTTAAATTATTCTTGAAGAGGGGTTATTCAGGTTCAATATTTACCTTCAAAACCACAGATCAGTCCACCTCTGACCCTCTGTGACTCCCTAAACCCTGGAACGTCCACACAGTTTGTCCTGTGCTTCACATTTGTTTCCCAATCTGAGACACGTGTTGCATACCAGACCACTGGCAGTCTGATGCTAATCTGCTACCAGTGTGATTTCTTGCATTCTTAAGGTGGAATGTCAAATCTCTCATCTGCCGCAGGTCTCTGCCTGCCTGCAGCCATCACGCCTTTAAACACACCTGCTCATTGATAGTCCATCTCCGCAACGCTGTGCTGGGCAGTGTACATTTGCTCTGAAAAAAGGAAATCATCTAAATTCTGTGTATTTACCTCTTTGCCCCACCTTGAGTTGTTTCACACAATAATTAAACCAGAAGGGGGCGTTGTCCTCCCAATGAAAACCCATCTTTCCTTATATCCATCCTCATTCTACCTCTTACCTGTGGATATGATTTTTAATCTTCTTCAGGATGTTTTCAGCGAAAACTTTGACAGCCTGCACATATTTATATAGGTAGTCATTCCTACTACAGCCAATCTGTCTGGGATCCAGCGGTGAGTAGTTCTACCAGGAGAGGGATTTACCTGCAGAATAACAGGTTGATGGATTTAACAAACATGACTAAGTTGTCTTAAAGAAATAGATTTCCCATCACTGTTATATTGTACGTGCATAGTCCCACTGTTTACCTTTATACTACAGAGTTTATCTGTCTCACAAATATGGAGTCTTACACTCTTACTAGACTCTGACACAACACAAAATATTTAATATATATAACATATAAATATGTAAATATGCAAATCCAACAGAAATATTAAAGTACTGCACTAATTAATATTTTTGTATTTATGATGGAAAAAAGAACTGTGTAAAATGACAAATTATCACCCAACCCTGCAGTTCCCCTCAGTTCTATGGAGCATTTTAACATATTTCAGCAAATTTTTTTGATTTTAAGGCCGGCAACTCCCTGATAACCCTGCTGTGCACTAGCCTTCCTGCCCTGCACCAAACAACACACTTTTGTGTTTAATTTACTTCCTGTCTTTGTCTGTTTTCACTCCAGTTTTGATTGTTTTTCCTTCCCTGATTATGTTCACCAGTGCTTCATTAGTTCTTATTTAGTCTATTTGTTTTCCTTCTTTCAGTTGTCAGTTCATCTTGGTTTTGTCCCTGGTTGTTCTTGGTTACTTTGTTTGTAGTTGCTTAGTCGGCTTTTTCGCTTTTATGCTTCCTGGACCAGTACCTGTCTATCTACCCGCCTGTCTACCTGTACCTGCACCCATCTGTAAGATTAAACCTT